GAGATAATCAACATGAGACAATAGATCTAAGCATTGTGATAATTGGTATTTGTTAGCAACATGTACCTATCATACTAAGTGAATTAATGCTTTCTGACTGATTTAAATATATGGGACACTAAAGTAGCAACGATAGTTATAGTGATGAGCATCAACCAACACCAAGCCTAGGTCGATCAGGGTCTCCTATAGACTACTTCCAACCACCTTATATTTCAAAATAGCGCACATGTCATAAAGTCTCTTACACTGGTGATTGGATTGCAAACTGACCGATAGAATTCGACTAGCACTGGAAGATTAGACGAGTATAACTTTGATCACTGCTACTTAGTGATCAATCATGTTAAAGTGAATATACCATCGAAAAAAATTTTGCTAAAAGAAATGAATGTAGAATAAAGAAAATTTAATCACTACGGTACATAACTGATTTCACAATAAAACTATTTATTTTAATTATGTGTATATTAACCTGTATGAAGTTATAAATATCGATAGTCAAGAAACATCGGCTTGAGTTTAAGTTCAGAGTGTTTCAACTCAAACTGCTTATTTATCATTGCTGTAGAAAAATTCCAAATATACCGTTCCTCACGGCATGTCATGTAATTATAGCATTTTAAATTTGGATGTATATGGATAGTATCGGATAAAAGACTTCCTCTTTATTAATGGAATCTGGATTTTTGTTTTATCTCATCAAGAAGATCTAAACAAAAAGTGTACAAAACCAACCACCAATGTACAGGCAGCTTATTCCACTACAAAAAAATGTAGTGGGATAACTTATATATTAATGCAAGAATAATTTAGTTGCATTCTTTTAATTTAATCATAATAGACCCACCTTCTAGATATAATGTTTTACGAGTTATTAATCTAGCCGAAGAGCAAGGCCTTATTTTAATTGACTTTCTAGTGATGAACCAAATAAACCCTTATTATCTCATTACTTATGTCTCAGATGACTTTCAACCATGTTCATTTTTGTCCCTAATATTTTTCTAACATGTTAATGAACAAAACTGGTTTGTTAATACCAGTTCTTGAAAGAAATTGTGTGCCAGTGAAGTAGTATGTTGTACATACAAATAGTTCAATGTATGATAGTCAGAAATGTTTATATCAAACTTTATTAAATACGTAAGAATAGTTTGCCAGTGTAATTTTGGCAGTGAACAAACCGTGGTATAAAACTTTGGTGTACTGTAACTACATATTGATTATTAGGAGCACTCTCTAATGGGATCTTCAATATATACATACAACGGACTGCTGCGAAGCACTAATAAAATAAGTAATATCAGAACTTTACGGGGTTCTAGTTGCATAGACATTGCAGTTCTAATTAAAATATGAATGTTAACAAGAAATTCTGGTGGGTTCTTTAAAAAATTATATTGGTTCGCTTATTATTATGTTATTTAGACAACCAAGTATGGAATCATTACTAATCTAACCTTACAAAGCTGTTTGCAAAAGCATCCACTTAAACGGATAAGATTATCCGCAGTTTCACTAACTTTGTCGTGATCAGCATTTTCTATCATTTCTTCGTTCATTCAATAGGCAGCTGCCACATATGTAAGGGTGAATTTGATTAGAAATATTATTTAGGAGCATAAAGTTTACCATATTTGTGCTCCTATCCGCCACGACAGAGAAAGCTACATCTAAAATATTCGTAGCTGGAAGGTGCGAATAGTTTTACCAATCAAAATGAATTATTTGATGAAAATTAGACCACATTTTTTAGCTATTAACCACCGACTGGATAACAAATGGCATGAGTTGCTAGATACATCAAAAATATTGTGGATACTCTCAGATAATATCGCGCCATGAATGTTTAAAAGGGGCCTGAATAACACTCGCGCATTTAAAAACCTCCTGAAAGGTAATTCGAAATTAAGGTTTAAAACACAAGGTCAGAAGTGTTAAGACCATAGAAGTTGATTTCAAACTACTTACAACAATAATTATAGTTAACCCTAATGAAAATATTCCCGGATATTTTGAATTATATTTCTTAATGTTCTAAACATTTCATTTATCCTAATTAATGAGGCTGAGATTATTGTTTCAAAACAAGACAGAAAATCATAATAATGAGAAAATCCCATAACAAATGCTATTCAGTACAGTAGTTAAGGTTGATCATTATTTAGTTTATGTTGAAAATGAAGTCATATAAAGTGGAGAATGAAGTCATAAATGCTGGGTGATAGTCAAAATGAAGAAAACAAATGAGTAATGATACCTTATGAGATAAGAAATGAGATGAAAATAATGTAATGAATGAATACCAGTGGATAGGTAACAAGAGATTTAAAGTAGGAAAATGTATACATTTTATTCTGTAAGTTTTATTGTTTATGTTTTCTCCAAATATGTCATAAGGCTGAGTTATGTGAAACTAGTTGATGAGAATATATATCAACATTATATTACTCAATTGTTTTCAGTAAACAAACAGCTGTTATTTTTTTATAAGAACACAAAATAATAAATTAGATTCTTGCATACAAAATCTGCTGACGTCAAAACAATTAGGGTTTATGAAGATTATACTTTTGTACATCACTTTTGATGATCTGGTCGTAAGTGTAAGATAGACTACAGCAGTGCAAATGCGCTTATTTGTTACCATACTCCAGATTTTCAAAAACCGAATTCCTTCGCAAAAACCCCTTCATTCTGATTTTTAATAATACTGACAATGCTTAGTATCTCTCGATATTACAGTTACCAAATTGTATTATACAAAAGTCAGGTATAGTATTTTATTAAGAATTCCTAATGAGCTAAACATGAATTTAAGCTCTCAGTCGAATTCATATAGCTTCACTATCTAAAACGTTGACATGCAGCTTTCTTAGGATCAATAGTACGAATAGGTAAGTCAAGGTTGATAACAAATAATGATATACTATACTTCTCTTCTGGCAAAAATGCCAACATATTCCAGGAAACGTCTTTTGTTTAATAAAACCATTTGTAAAAGCTAAGTGATTAAACAATATTGGATTTAAACCTGTCGAGATAACTGTTTTGTAGGTCTTCATTTCCTCTGTTATACATGAAATTACCTTCTGTATAGCACACTACACAGAGAAAGAAAGGTAAATGCAACATTTGCCAGTATATTTCAGTTTATTGGGTATAATAAATTGTTTTAAAGTTTGCGCCAATATACTACTCTCATTTGTCACCTTTTCACTCCTAAGCAAAAATATTTTTAAATTTCGCTTTATGAAGAGATCATTCAACATTTTTGATCATTAATATGAAAGACATTTGGTAAAATGCAATTTTCGAAACCAGTATTTGAACTTTAGAAAGTATGGGTGAACGACACTACCACAACATTGTTTCCCATATTTCTTACCACATTTTCTAAAATGTAAGGATATTTCAGTTCTTTTATTCCCATATTAGTAATTAGGTAACAGAACAGATATATATATATATATATATATATATATATATATATATATATATATATATATATATATATATATATAGAGAGAGAGAGAGAGAGAATTCCCAGAATTTTCTACCAACCCGGCTAACGGAATTAGCAAACAAAGTGTCTGCCATACCAATAATACGGAGTTATTTTCCTTATCATCCAAGTTGTTTCGACGACATCAGTGTTCAGAATAAACATAACTTTTAAAAATACAGCTAATTAGACATCAGATACTGTTAACAAAAACCACTTGATTTCAGTGCAATTAAAGCAAAAAATAGTGTTTAAATAGTTTTCTAGACGTGATTAAAAAATTGCTGATGTGTGGAAGGATGTTTTTATAACTGAACTTATTACTGGGAGTGGTAGTTCAAAAAAAGGTAACGAGGAAAAATTATGGGCAGATATGGGTTTGTTCATACAAACTTTTGGATTCTCGATTAAACAACTGGTTTGACATGTTTAAAATCCGCGAACTTATAAAGTTGCTAGAAAATACACGATATTTTTGTAAATGATTTGTTACCTATCTGTTCCTAACTCGTACTCTACGCGATTGAGAATGAATTGTCGTTGTGTCTATTTTTAACAGTAAAATATTGCCACTATCCATTCGCTAACCTTATGATTTGACTGATATTTTTGGCCGGAACTAGAGAAACTGAAAAGCGATTGATAACATTGAATTGAAGTAGAAAATTCTGACAGATCAGAGAAATAATTCGGTAAATGTTTTTGTTTGGATAACCTCACCAAAACAACAATACTGCATGAAACTGCATGACTATAATACAACTACAAATAGTCGAAGGAGCAATTTAAAGTCAATTCTAGTAGGCAACACTGATTGTCGAAATAATATTTTAGTAACAAATTTCTTTTATGAGCTAGCAAATGTTTGACAAAATCCAAGACCGAGGGGTGAAATGAAGGAGGATAACTAAATACGGTTTCACCTGGCTGTCGTTTTTGAAGAGGCCCCTTTTTAAATGATTTTGATGATATATTTAAATTAAACAAATACGAAGGATGACTGGATAAAAATAATTTAAAAACTTTGCAGATAAATCAAAGATATCTGTATAGAAAGAAGAACATTAAGACACTCGGGTTTAAGTCGAAGGTGACATAACGAAATATTGAGGAATTTTGCTAAAACTAACCAATCTCAGAAAACTTTTACACAATAGAAATGCAGTAACACCGTTCAAATAAACCACCTAGGTTTTCAGTCAGGTCTATTGTGCAGTTTTAGAAAAGTCTGAGACTTCTTCGTTTTGCATGATATATGGCGAAACAAACATATATTTAAATTTAATCGTTCTTGAACCTCTTTTAAATTAAGTGGACAAAATGTAAAATACTAAATATAAATTGTTACCTAAACGGCTTTACTCACTATTTAAAAAATTAAATTTATTCAAGACAAAAAACGAAGGACACAAAACTAAACTTATCCAGGTTATTATAAAGGAGACAGAGTTTTTACCCAAACAGAAATAGTATTTCGTAGTGTTTTACATACATTATCACAGCGATATTCTCCCGACTACACCTGGATTCGTGAATGAACTTCGCACCAGCCTTGAGGTTGCTTATGCGTAACTCTTCACCTGGTTTCTGAAGCTCAAGGTGTTTCCAATGAGGGTTCTTTACAACAGTTATAAATTAGAGAAAAATTAACATACAGGTTTTGCAGGCTTTTGAGTTGACGATAACATGCAAGTTATCTTAGCTTTCTTTAGATTAGAATCAGTTGTTGCTTCACCATGGTCAACTATGTATAAGTAATTTAAAACTTTTCCAAAAGCTGCCCCCATGATCAGTACGCTTATTTGAAAACGTTCTGAAACACCTTGATCAACAAAGTACTCTTTACTTATTTAAAACAGTGATTTACATTGAAGTTGTCTTAATACTATTTTTTGCTAAATGATGGTTTCTAACTCAGTGCAAAGCAATTAATTGATTCAGGGATCTGTCATTAATTTATGCGTTTATCACAATATATCACTAGTTATTATATTTATGGCCTATCGTTTTTAATGTGTAGGTAAGATATGGTAACAGTTTTTGGAGACTGAATGTAAGTTAAAAGTCGGTAAAGAACATGGAACATGAACTGTAGAAAAGTACAATAATGGTTTGTCTCATTCGCATATTCAATTTCACCGATGGGAGATTTTATGTAGGTATACATGCAACTGTGTGTTATTTTTAAGCTTACCTACTAGCTGAGATGTAGATACTTGGGATTTTACGTTCGAGTTTGTACTTATTCATTTATTTACGCTACAAGAATAATGAACTTCATCTAATGTTGTAAACTTGGTACGACATGAGTGCTCAACACTGATGATCTTATATCGATAATATCCTTAGTTATACTGACCCACGCTTTCGTAACAGTCGGTAGCACTACATGTGAAAACCTTTGGAGAGCACATTCAAGTTAATAAGAAAATGATATACTTGACGCAATCGGGTCAGATTTGCTTTAGCCACGATTGATTCAGAAAGTTTGAAAGTTCCATAGTCAACAGGGTAGAGACTACATCTCAAACGTAGCCGCCATAAGGATAAGAAATCGAAAGGATAGAAAAAATATAATAACCTCGGAATGCAATGAATACATGCTACGAACTCAAACAGTGAGCTCACACAATACTGACGAATTTCATAGATAATCCAGATTACCAATACGTTCTGTGAAATCAGAAGTTCATATGGAACCAAACATTTATCACATATAGTTTTCATTCCCCTTGTATAAATTGCAGGTTAATTCTTCAGATTTGACTGCCTTTCTTGGAATAGATTATTCAGTATTTTTGACATTAGGATGACTCATGAGGCCAGTGAGTAAATGCATGATAACGGGACTTAGCATGAGAAAATCGTACCGCACACACACGTGGAGTTGGATAGCCCAATCGTGACAGTTCTTCGAATATTCTTATTTCATTCTCTTATCTTCCATTCTCCTACAAGCTCTTGTCCTCACATAAAGGACACGTTCAACATTTTAGGTGCAGTAATTTGTGGTACGTAGGTATATGATGCGAATCGAAATGAAAGTTACAGTATATAACATTTTTGGAGTATCGTTGTGGTTGTCATTGATTTCGCCGGTATAACGTCCAGATAGTGAACGGTTTAGCAGTTCTACATTAGGCTGCTCTAAACGAACTGGCATGTTCTAGTGTAATAAATTGATCGAAATTACATTTCCGTGGAAACAAGCTAGTGCAACAACTTAGGTTGATTGGTTATTAGTCGACCGAAAACATCATAGCCCAAGTACTCATTTATTTTCCTATTTTGTGCAGGCATTATATTTCCTATTATTTCACACTGAATGTCAAAACTTTGTGTCTGGAAAAGGCGAACCTCACTTCCCGACTTAATCGACGGCTAGTCTGGTTACACGAAAGGCATCTGCAGACACGAAAAGTTATCTGGAAGCGTAAATCAACAAACACAAATGAATGTTATTGATGTGATCTATGCACTATCATGAAAGACCGTATTTCGCCTTCATCATTGCGTAAAGCAACTCGGAGCATCGACTCACAACTAAGGTACTTCAATCTAAGTTGCCACAACATGCTTACACGTTTTCGGGATTTTTAAGTAAGTTTGAGAGTTTCCGATGGCCCTTTAACTCTGGACGTGTAATTAAAAATGAGATTTGTGCTACACGTATTAGTTAAAAATCGTTAAGGCCACTATAGTGTCTAACACTATTGCCAAGCCCACAAGGGTTATCCTAACTTCCAGATAGACCAATTTATTTATTTTTCTTCAGTCGCAATTTGACCATGTCGTTTTTTGGCTTACTAAACTTGACTGTTGTAATATGAGCGTGTTTGTATGTAATGCTTACCCTACTATTCACATGTCTGTACCATATTTTTTGTCTGGCTACAAATACTGAGTCACGCTTGATCAAAACGGGTTGGCTCACTCGCTTTCTCCATTTCGCTTTGCTGCTTTTCATTCTGAATGTCTGTCCGGAACAAGGACTTTGAGAAAGATACGTCTTCAACATTTATTCTTGCATTTGAATTATTTTATTCTGTTATTCTCTAACGCCAACTTGATAATTATGTGCGAGAGTAGCTACGATGTATATTTTGAAGACATCAACATACGTTCACATTTTAATCAGAATGAAAGGCAATAAAACCCTTAAAATGCTCTCTAACTGATGAAAGTTTGATCGATCGATCTCTGTCCAAAAATGACGTTTAAGTCTACAGAAATCATATTAGATCTATGTGGTGTGATAATATTACTGGAAATTAATAAATAACGTTGAAGTTTTACCTAGCTATAACGGGACTGGTCCAGCAGAAAAATCTCAAAAGTTATTCATCCGTTACAAATGCATAAATGCTAGGAAGTCAAGGCACGATACAATCTGGTAGACTATTCCGTTCTGTTCAACTGCAGAATGTTCAATTAAATTTCAAACAGGGTTGACTCATGTTTTCAGAAAGCTGATTGCTGGACGTTGAGTGGTTCAATAAACTTTCTGAAGTTAATGGATGACTAACGCATGCTTATCAGTCAATGATGAGGATAAATACACGCAGCAGTTTTTTCACAAATCTATAATATTATTCTGGTAGCCTGTCATCTATTCTCCAGATATATCATGAAAATAGAAAAACCTGGCCACAGGCTATGGTGGATCGGGATAAGGTGGTGTAATTTTGACACAAGATTATCTATGTCAAGCAGTTACATCATTACTTGTAAACCTCAATAGGGTAGTGCCAAAACAGACCATTTGAATCCTAGGACTTTGCGTCGGATGATCAGCACACCTCACATTTGTGAACGTCGGAGGTATTATAAGATAGTTTTGTAGTAGCACAGATCTGATGGTTAGAATCCAAATTCAATTGTTGTCAAAATGAAGGCACATTTTCATTAAGCGACCAAATCTATGCCGACTTTCAATCTTTACAAAATCTACGAAACTGAAATATGTCATAGACCGACGTTAACAAGGCCGAAAATGTTCTAATTTTTGAAAGTTGGTCAATGACTGAGCATCGTTCGGTTACAGCTGCCAGTCAGATTCTATAACCCATCTGGAAAGGAAATACCTCAGTGACTTGACACACTTTACCGAATCTTCGACTACCTGCTAGCAACGCACAATTGGAATAAAAAGCAGCTGGCTAAAGCTTGCATTGCCAAGATAACGGACACAACTAAACTGAGGAAGCCTTTGAGAAACCTCTGGGAGGAATCCCGACACACTAGGTTCGCCACTTATGTTTATCTTTATAATTTCGACACTGCCAAGCCATTTATTAAGCATCGATTAAAACCAATTGACGAACACACATTTTAATTGGCAACAGCTACTGCTATACAAACCTATATAATATATTTCGAATACCTGAATACAGCGCTGCCGTAGATACTGGCCGCCTAAATCGTGAGAACGAAATTACAAGAATAACCGGCCATTCCGTCACCATTTCATAAGGCGACAAAATTTTGCACCTTCTAAAACAACACATTCATTCCTGTATGTCATAACCGTATTCATATTCCCCAACCATGTTACAGCTTTAAAATAACAAGACGGAACTCTCTAACTGACCAACAGATTTATTACTTTGAAAAGATCACGACTAAAAGAAAATGGACATTTTGAGAAAAATAAGCAGAGAGAAGGGGAGAACATCAAAAGGAACCATTAATTCAGGGTCTAATAAATTAAGTCTGAAATAATAAGACCCTATTAGTGAATATAACTTCATACAGTGTTGAGGATGTTAATTACACAAAGACACCGTGTTAAAAAAAATAAGAACGATACTATTGTACTTGATGTAATATGGTCACGATTGATTGAGAAATTTTTTGTTTATTTTATATCAATGCCATACAATAAGTGATTTACAGTATCTGCATAAGAGGAAGGGTTTGGACAATTAGTCCGTCGAAAACGAAAGTAATCTACAAAAGAAAATTTCAAAAAGACATTTTATCGAATTGGGACACAATATTCAATGGCAGTGTTGTTATGTGAAAGCATACAATTATATCCAGGTATAAAAAAGTCATGACGGAGCAAAATGTTTTAGGAGGATAATTTTAAAAAATTCTTCCGCAAAATATAATATACACATAAGTAAATTGCTATTACTTCAAACATAAAACAGACTATTTGATCAAAATGATACGCCGACAAATAAAGATCAGTCAGACAGTTATTTGCAATCAATATAGATTCACATAATTCGTTCCTTTCACACAAACAAAACAAGAACGATCACATTTGCAGAGTACAATGAATTCAGTGAATTTTGTTGTTTACTATTCAGCTGCACCCAATTATCAACATGATGTTGGACAATGAATTGTCAATCAGTAGCAAATAAGTTGTGTGTAATATGAGCCTAGTACAGCACAGATATACATCAACACAAGTTGCCATACAACATAATCAAACAAGAGGGCTTCAAAACTGAAGAATTACTTGATCAATAGAATAAGAGAAATAACTACCAAGCTGAATCAATCAAAGCAAAGATGAAAAATGAAAACGACATTTTTCCCACAGAGATATATACAATTATATAGCTTTGATAAATGTTGATTTACTTAAGGTATTTGAGATATATTCAGTGGTAACAGTTATGTGAGTGGACTTAACGTGTGGGGGGGACATTTGTACGAGCTTAACTGAAATCAATATCTGATTATCATTTGTTTCAAATTCCAAGTACATTCATTCCTCTATTACGATATGAATAATGTCAAAAGTGAATGGGATTAATAATTGTTTTACTACTAATAATAAGATGTAAAATAGTAAATGCTGAAACAGAATGGACATATACAAATTACTAACAGTGAAATACTATCGATAGAACATGTTTTTTAAAGAAGAAGCACGATGGGATAGTATTAACGTCAACTATGTAGATGAGCGGTCATTTATTAACTAAGCACGTCATTATATGAATGAGACAATCATGTTGCCTTTCTTGTATAATTATTAAAAGTGTCGATTTGATTCAGGAAAAATGCAACGCATGATAATTTTAACCAATGGTTAAAGACTGTTTGATATGGCTCAGAATCGTTCGCGACGGCAGAAGTGTACTCACTTTTCATCTCCTCTTAGATCTTAGACTTCTAAATTTCTTATAATTTTTTTATTTCCCTGATTTATATTTTCCTCTCAAATTGTACCTTTTATGATTAATCTTTTCTATTACTACTAATATAATGTTACTATCTGCACTACTCTTGGATTCATTATCATGATTTTATCTCGACGTACACAGATGCCAGATTCTACGTTGCGTGTGGCTGACTGACTGAATAGATTAAGTGGGACAACTATTTGATTAGTAGACTGATTCAAATATACAATGATAATATTAATAACATTTGATAAATACATTTTATGAGTAATCAGGACAAAGTGAATGTTAAAAGTTGATTAAAATATATTTAAGTCAACGATAAATCAAGATAAATTGAGAAAATTAAGATCATTTGGATCAAGTTGATAAAAGGATTTACAACTAATTAATCCATTAGTAGTGACTGTCAGGTTTGTCTAGTTCAGTATTGAATTCTATAGAACAAGCTGCAATATAGTTACTAATTTAAGTGACTCCACATCGCACCCCAACTCCCCTGTAGTCCTTCTAGAATTACTGCTGGTCCCAAGCCCGGATGAAGGAGGGTTAGGCATGGGGTTAGCAACTCCATCCCTTAGACAACAACACTGCTAAAAAACATTAACTAGAAAACACATCGCAACTCAAATAGCTCAATGGTGAAGTTTCATACTGTGAATCCCACACTTATTATCATTTGTTCCATTAAGACTGCAGGTACACCTTGTTGATTAATGTCAACTAGCATAAAACCTAGGTTAAGTAGGATTTCTTGTTGACTACTTCCAACTTTGATAATAAAATATTTGACATTCAAGATTTTCACAGTTCCAAAGGAAATATCATCCTCCAACATTTCACCGGACTATTCAGTTAATTATTAATTCTCACCAGAATATACAACAAAAATTATTCAACTTACAACCAGCAACAAGCGGTCGAATGATCTTAACGAGAAAACCACAATTAAAAAGAAACACCAACACCAACTATCTTCGACGATTATTTCGCTGATCTTTAGCGATGCCAGTATCAGCTCGATAACGTTGATTGATTTCTGCAATCTCATCAGAATCATCACTATTATCATCATCATCATCTGAGCCTTCCTCATCTTCAGAGTCTGATCCTTTTTCATCATCTTCATCATCCTCGAAGATGGCAGCATTGGCGTCGAATTCAATATCATCATTCTCTTCTAATTTTATAGTGTCAGGAATCTCTCCTATCATTGAAAAAATACAGCAGATATTACTAAAATGGTCAACATATGGAATATACTGGAGTTACATGGATTTTAATAAATCCACTTACAAAAACAAACTTAGAGAATAGTAAAACTAAAGGATAGGATAATTATATGTACTCAGTTTTTGAGCCACCAAGATCCGGGTCGAAACTGCTGAAAATATTTTTATTATACCCAAACGTGAGTAATGGGTTGAACGCGGTTCTAACCGGTAATTCAATAGTTGAAAATTATGAGCCGAACTATTGAGTTATAGTTCCATAAATGAGCTAATAACCTAAAAGCCATTGGTTCAAATTTGAAAGACATTTGGGAAATTTCCTGTGATTACAAGATAATCAAGTCTATCAGCTAAGAGAGCTACTTTCAAAAAGTATAATTACATTTTATGAAGACGGTCATAAGAGATTTAAGCAGAATATCAGTTAAAATGCTTTTAGGCATAATTATTTACCGACTGAACAAAAAATAGTAATTTAGTGATCAATCACATAATGGTGTATATTGCACTCGGAAATTCAGTCTAATTTATACTGAAAGATGTCACGAGAATTTAAAACCTATAGTCTAATCTTATGTTTGGTTAATATGTGTGACACCGTCCAAAATAAAATCACACACTTGTTCAATGGCTATTCGCGCTTTGCAGTTATGAATATTCATAACGAACACGAGTCAAATGATTAGGAACCTCATCAATTAGACACCTTCAATTCAAAACCTAAGAATAGATTTAAAAACACAGCTTACAAGATGATATCATGAACTATCAAAGTGAAGAATAATTAAAAAAGTATAATCTAGAAGACTTGTAAGTACCTTAAACACTAATTTTTCAAATAGAAGGTTTAAATGTTATGAAATAAAGTGATACTCTTTCGATAAAAATGTCGACGCACTAATCACATCTATTGTAAATTATATCAGACTTGTTAATAAATATTTACGACATATCATACTCGTCAACGGATATTTATACATGCTAATTAAAGTTTAATAACATCAAATCGCTAAATTTACCTTCTAATTTAAGTAAGGTTAGTGAATAGCAGTGAATCTATAAAGCGCATTTCGTCCTATTTTGGACTCTTCAGTTGGATATACTTGCATACCGATAGAAAAGTTCATACTGAGACTTCGAAATAGATACCTTTTGCTTTAGACGTCAAGTTGTCCACTGAGCCACTAGATTATGTAGCTATTATTATTTCTATTTGTAAAAGTTCGTATTTTCCTAGTGTTGATAGAACGAGAAGTGCGTCATAGATTTTACTGTTAAATACTGTCCAACTTTACTAAAAAACTTGTGATGAAATAGGAGTATCAAAGCGATCTACCTAGGGTACACATAAGTTAATATCGACTGATCGTTTGGCAGGTTAGGCGTTCGCGCGCGAGAACAAAGGCATTGAGCTAGGCCTCTGGACCCAAGGTCGTGGATTTACACTACTACTGAGAAGTCCCGTACTAAAGCGAAACAGAAACCCAGTGCTTCCAGGTTTTCAATTGTAGTCTAACCAAGATCAACTCGTGATTAAACTATGAAAGTTTTAAAATCTCCACAAATCTTCCTATGCTGATAATATCAATCTTAAGATACTGATAGACTGATTATTTTCGAATAAGTTGCTACATAACAGTATAAAAAAAGGAACAAAAGAAAAAAATAGACCTGCCTAATGATTTAAGAGTTCTGGCTTCATCGTTCAAATACTTCATAATCACATCAGCTTTATTGTCTTGATAATCTCGCAAACCAATTAAAATGATATCACCATTACTGATCCAAACCTATAATAATGACAGTATTGGATGAGAATTTATGCATAGATATGGGTAGATATGAGAAAAAAAATGCAAACATATGACGACATTCATGATGTCTTATACATGAACGCTTAAACACTGACTTTCTAGATCCCAGAAGTGTTCTGCTCTTGGGGTCCAAACAAAAACAGGTGGGAAATACAAAAGAGGCTTTAATCCAAAAGTTAGTTTATGTACACAAAAAGGTTATTTATGGGATTGTATGTGACGTTGAAATTTTAGAAGCTTCTGAAAACATAATAAAATTGATGGAAAACTTAATAATTGTCCAATCAAGACAATAGAAAGGCTATTCAGTTTTCTAGAATTATCTTGAAAGTTTCTAATGTGCGTTGATTAATTGAAGTATTTTAAGTATGATGAAAATACTGAATATGAATCTTTTAGCACGGAAAACAGTAAAGGTATACTAGTCGTCGTTTAAATTGGTCAACAACCCGACTAAATATAAAACTCCTGACCAGAACATCACGAGTGAAAAAATGAAAGTATGAGTACAGAAATTTCGATCAGTTGAGCAATTAGCTAGTGTGGATATTACTGTTTAATCTGAGTTTATAATGAAGTTACACTAACTTGAGACCTACAACCACGATCGATAAAAATACAGAATAGAAAGACTACAAAAGACCTTTAACAACAGCTTACAGTCTTTGTCTCAAGTGAAATCCTTTACTGGATTCGCGACAATACTTTGCAACAAGTTGTTTAATTCATGTCAGAAAGAGGCAAATATGAAACTCAGTGATTTATTGATATTGTTAGTTAATGTAGTTAAATTTATTGACACTTACACAATTTGTATACGTGGATGAAGCTACTGATTAACGTGAAGTACTGTCTAGTACAGTGCATCAAAATTTGCATGTTGATCAGATAAGTCCCGTATAATTAAAAAAACCCAACTGATTCTCGGAATTGCATAGCTCTCATATGATGATCGACTGGTTAAGCTAAACCTATTTCCAATTTTATACAGAAGAACCAGAGGTGACTTGGTCACAGTTCTTAAATTAGTGATAAAAATGCATCAGATACACCATTTTTCCTTGTTTTCCAAAACAGATAATATACGAGGACACTCTAAAAACAAATTACTTATCTTCAGGTTACTTGTCAGCTGACTATCAGCTTTTCCATAGAATCATCAACGAATGGAGTTTATTACCTCAGCACGTGACTGAGGCTTCATCTGTCGACGCTTTCAAAAGAAAGTTGAATCTATTGAGAGACCACCATTGCCAGAACTAACACGCGCCACCCAGCTACTTGTCCTTTTCAAACTGAGACTGGATCAGTATTGGATTTGTGACTGATGTATGACAAACTTTTCATTTGCAATCTTGCCTTCATCTTCATACTAAACAACATCAATTCTTTCTCAGTTATACACAGGAGTAAGTTGTGCTTGCAGGATACTACAAGTAGTTATACTGGTATTTTACCAAGCTACAACAATCCATTACTAAAGACAGTAGTTAGAAGCTTAATTTCTAATGAGATGATGTACTATGTAGTAATTATGATGGTTATTAAGTTGGCCCAAATTTTCGTATGGTAATTGTAAAGAAAAAAGATTATCTGACGTATAATTTTGATAATTCGATTATCAAGTTACTTGTTAATATACGATAGTTACTTATGAATAATAAATTTCGAGATAATAAGATAATTCTCCTTGTATAAAGAATATACGAATCACAATTTCATAATCTGTATTATTCTAAAACTGGTGATATCGACAATGATAAATTTAAAATTTCTAATAGACTCTGAAAATTAAAGCAGTAGGCATTATGGTATTATATGCTTTAAACCTGTGTGCTAAACAATTTATTCGGGTTATATCAAATACTAGGTTGATCAATTATTTCAACAAAGTACAGATTAATGAAGCTGTGGGTTACTATTAACTAAGTGTTTAGCATGCAATTCTCATCGTGCCTGAAAATGGGTTGTAAAACGTGGATGGAAGAGTTGACTTTTATACCCGTTTATTAACTGGATATGTTTAAAATAATTATACAATCGTTATAAAGTTGTATTTTAGATTGGAGTGGCGAATAAATGCAAATTTAACGATTTTGCTATTAACTTTATATGCACGAAACGCTTGTTGAGACAAAAAAAAACATTTCACCAATCCAATATTATCATTATTATTACTATTTTAACACATAAACATTGGTACAAATGAGTATCAAACATATATGCGTCATACAAATCACTGAACTTGTGTGTGGGCTATGATACTGTCCTGGTGCCCAAACCGAAGTAGGTGGTTTTCTTAGGGAGACACTACTTGAGCCTTTGATCTAGAAGTCTAATCCACAAGGCAGTGGGGCAATTTTAAGAGATGTGGCCTCATTGTAGCCAGTGACGAACAACAGGTTCACGTGCGTTTGTTACTTCTGGGTCCTGCAGCTCATGTGCACTAATAGTTTGGAGTTAGGGTGGATCCTCTGTACCTACCAATACCACTAACTAAAAATTTTATTAATGTCACCATGTTATTCAAAATTAAAGTTATTTGAATTCAAAAGGCGAATTGATACAATATTGTGACAGCACGATATAACACTAGCAAGGATTTTCATATACATTTAAACTACAACTAACTAAAATTTAAAACACTACAAATATATGTTTATATGCATACTTTTTTGCGCAACTTTCCACGAATATGGCACAGCCTTTTAACACCGTCGAAACAATAAGCTTCTAATCGACCATTGCCTAAAAGGCGTTCAACTTTCGCATATTCTATAAAACCAAATACACCATGAAAAACAAAACAATATATTTCCGTGAAAATATGATATAAATATAAGTAGATAACAAGTAGTATGTAATAAAGTCTCATTGAAATAAACTTTAATTCATGAAGAACACAGAAAAAAAACAAGTTTTGTTATGAATAATCCCACTTAGATAAATATAAAAGTCAACATTTTGAATTAAAAGTAAATTCATTTTCTGAAACTTCTTAGTTTTCGAAAAAAAAGCAGTACAAGCATCAGTCAATGAATATCTAGGATAGCAGCGTCACCTTATATTGATGTCATGGATTATGTACACATTTTGGAATATAACTACAAAAAAGCATCGAATTGAAGGTCAAACTGTGCTGAAAATTGCAGTAGTGATTAGATGTTTATGTAAACATATTTGAAGTCATTTTAGAACTTAGGGTACAAAACAAGGATGTTTATTGAATGGGAAACTATCTTTTGCTGGTTTGTTCTAATACTACATATCTATACACCAAAGGATAATGGGTTATGAATAAATACACGTTAAAAACTACCTTAAACACTAAAATTAAGTCAACAACTCATTAAGTTGCAGTCCCTTACATTACTGTCTACAATTATTATTAACTCGTATACTTGGTTTTGAGCTACATTCTTAATGTGAGGACTAGCGATACTATATGGCTGCCTAAACCGAAGTAGGCGGATCGGGGTCTGAACCTGGGACCTGTTGGTTGAAAACCAAAGGCATTAACCACTGAGTCATCGCCGACTAACCGTGCAGATGTTTGAGCATGAGGTTGAAAGTTACCTCTGTAAAAAGAAGGCTGATGTGCTAGTACTTAGGAACTCGAACCTAATTAATTAAAATAGGGGATGACTCTTATGACAGACTGGATGATTTTGATGCTTCTTAGTTGGTCACACACCATGGGAGTATTTTTTATGATGACCTGAAAATAAATAATAATGGGATTAATGTTAATGGTTTTCTTGACAATAGAGAGTAAATGTAGTCCGGAGAGCAATCATCTAAGAATGGTCACATTACACCCTTTTGTGAATTGCATATTGTTGTACTGGCTTTGTACTTTTTAAAACCTCAACAGATGAGTTGGGAATCTGTAAGGGATCGAAGATTTTGGTTTGTGTGAAACATATTGCCGTCACCCACACAACGTTACAGTTGACGGAATGACTAAAATTTGTTAATTGGTCTTAAGATTCTTCAAACAATCTGGTCGATAATATAGCTCGAATGGATTGTCACGACAAGCAAGTCATATCACCGTGTCAGGGTTGTAATTACTATTAGATTGGATGGAAGATGAATGTCTAAACCAACGGACTAAAGCTTGATTGTGCATCCAAACAACTTCACAAGCATATTACGAGGTCATTTATGCTTTCGTAAAAAACAGACTCTAAGTCAAAAAGCGATTAGTATACTGAAGCAATAATTAGCGTAGTGTTGATAAACCTATATTGTTCAACAAATATGAAACTGGTATAATTTAAGTACATAGACTATAGCCGAATCTAAATGCTTGACCTGATAAATTAAAATCGAGTGCGCAAATTAATGAGTCGAAGCCTTATAATGTATTGATTAGAGCGGGAATATGATGAGCTACTTTTTCTTTCAGCTTTTTAACCCGCTATTTTCTGTTTTTTAGCATAGTGAATACATGAAGTGTGAATCACCTAAAATTATTTTATATTTAGTTACAGCACTACGTATGCTGATAAAAAGTTCATGCAAACTTAATATACTGTCTTTACCCAATAAAATGGTTTAAAGAGTTTCTAATAAAGACGTGAAATGTGATACGAAACGAATGTACAGCAACTATGACTGAGACACTGTATATCAGATCGGTGATACGTGATTATTCAATAAAACATCAAAAATTAAAATAACCAGCATAATAGAAAAGTATTACTACTATACTGAACAGAAGCGGTTGGTACAATAAGGCATCAAAAAATGTGTGATACAAAACAGGATGACGATGTGATGGCTAATTTTGGAGAAAAGTGGAATTAACTTGTTTATCTGAACACAAAAATTGCCCCCAAATGCCTGGTACGACCGAGAGTGGGGAGAGTCCGCTCTCCCTCTCGAAATGCTCTCACATGGTCACGCGTATATAGCCTCTGCCAGGGAAGTCCGACTCACTGCATTCTCGTGGCGGGGGTGTTGTTTACGAAAATAAGAGGACGAAAAGCGAATGTCCGGAGCTTTAACCGGATTCCAAACCAATGGTGCACATGGGCTCTAGTATCCCGCGGGAACAAATGGCGTATGAACCAATTGTTGGTCACCGGCTTCCATGGAACTGCATCTCCTTACGATGCTTTATTGCCTTGTGGATCAGACCCTCAGGTCGAAGGCTCGGGGTTTGGCCCCCTGAGAAAACCACCTGCTTCGGTTAGGGCACCCGGGCAGTATCGCAGCCCACACGCAAATGATGAACTCTCCATATCTATGGAAACTACTTTTCTCGCTTCAAATAACAATCAAATGGTTCAAATTATTATTATTATTATTAATTATTTACCACATTATTCACCCTCTTTTATACTTATACAGCGGCTTATCTTTAGTGGAAATTCGACTCTATCTAAACGTTCTCGAGTCACTGTCTGGTTGAAAATTGTATGTTACCACTGAATATGAGTACTGAAGCAGTTTTTCTGGAACTACGTGCACCATTCAAACTGGCTGCCTTCAACGTTCGCACACTTATGCAGGTTGGACAACAGATAGGGCTGGCTATGTCTTTAGAAAGTTCTAATATCGATGCCTACTGTCTATCCGAGACCCGTATTGAAGACTCTGGTGAAGTATCACAAATTCGCTCTCCATCTGTCGCTTCGAAAAGTTTGTTTTACGTGCGTTTATCCGGGGACCCTGTGGCATCTTCATCTGGTCTTGCTGGCGTTGGTGTCGCACTAAGCGCTAGAGCTGAGGCAGCACTAATCGATTGGATCCCCATTAACAGTCGGTTATGTGCTGTTAGATTAGAAAGTTCCGTCAAAGTGAGAAAAAATCGGCGTGAGAAACGATGTCTTTTCGTCATCTCCGCCTATGCCCCGACAGATTGCAGCCCGGATGCAATCAAGGATGAGTTTTACCACCAGTTATCTGTTCTTCTCCAGAAAGTGCGCTCGACAGATATTGTAGTACTAGCCGGAGACTTGAATGCTCAGGTCGGGAGTCTAGGCACAGAAGGGAGTCGTTTAGGTGGCCGATGGGGACTCGTTGGTCGCAGGACAGATAACGGGGACCGTTTACTGCAACTGTGCACAGACCACAACCTGTTTCTGGCTAGCACTAACTTTCGGCACAGTCATCGCCCATATGCCACCTGGCGTCCTCCCTCTGCATCCCAAGCCTGGACTCAGATTGATCACAAAGGTTTGGGAACTAGAGAGTGTACCAACGTCATGGAATGAGTCGATAGTTGTCCCTATCTTTAAAAAGGGTTCACGTCGTCCCTGTAACAACTATCAGGGGATAAGTCTACTTCCGATTGCGTCAAAGCTATTGGCTTCCGTCATACTTCGTAGGTTGTTCAAAACCCGAGAAAGATTGACTCGAGAGGAGCAGGCTGGTTTTCGTTCGGGTCGAGGATGTATTGATCATATCTTCACCCTCCGCCAAATGTTAGAACACCGCCATACTTATCAAAGGCCAACAATCGTAGTGTTTCTTGACATCAGGGCTGCCTTCGATTCGTTGGACAGGACTGTTCTCTGGGATTGTCTATTGAAGAAGGGTGTGCATGAGAAGTTTATTAACATCCTAAAAGCCCTATATACAAACACCTCAGGCAGAGTGAGGGCATACAACCACCTCTCTCCATTGTTCCATTCGAGCAGTGGGGTTAGGCAGGGTTGCTCAATCTCACCATTCCTCTTCAACTTTGCCATCGATGACATTCTGGAAACAGCCCTGATGGATGTAAGTAATGGTGGTGTGGATCTGTTGCCTGGAGAAAGACTTCTCGACCTTGAGTATGCGGATGATATTGTCTTACTGTGCGATAATGCCCAAGGCATGCAATTCGCACTTAATCAGTTAGCAATCAGTGTCCGTAGATATGGTATGTGCTTTGCACCTTCGAAGTGCAAAGTACTTCTACAAGACTGGCAGGATTCTAATCCTGTACTCATCCTGGATGGTGAGCAGATAGACGTAGTCGAGAAGTTCGTGTATCTGGGTAGCTGCATAAGTGCTGGTGGGGTGTGAGTGATGAGATCAATGCACGTATAGTGAAAGCCAGAACGGCTTATGCCAATATGGGCCATCTTTGGCGCCTTCGTGATGTTAATCTGGCCGTAAAAGGTCGGATTTACAACGCGTCGATGAGAGCAGTTTTGCTCTATGCTCGTGAAACCTGGCCTCTCCGAGTTGAGGACGTTAGAAGACTCTCTGTGTTCGATCATCGCTGTCTCCGAAGGATTGCTGACATCCAGTGACAACATCATGTCAGTAATGCAGAGGTTCGGCATCGTGTGTTCGGGCACAGAGATGATAATTCAATCGATGTCACCATCTTGAAACACCGACTTCGGTGGCTTGGACATGTTCTACGAATGTCGTCCCAGAGAATTCCACGTCGTGAATTATTTTCCGACCCTGGAACTGGTTGGAGAAAGCGGAGAGGTGGTCAGTGCATGACATGGTATCGTGGTATGAAAGCTGCAAAGGACTGGCTTCTGTTGGTCCTTCACGACTCCCTGGTTGGGGTCCGAGAGATGGTGCTACACAGTGGCTAGAGACGCTATCAGATATGGCTCATAATAGAAGCCAGTGGCGATCCTGCTGTAACCTTCTTTTACTTTCTTCATAAAAAGTAGTCGTGTCTCCCTTAACTGAAAGATTTCTTCTGATTGTACCTTTCCGTTCTCTCATTATTACTTTTATTATTACTACACTACCTTACACCAGCCTCTTCGTTACTGTTTTTTTGTTCACACTCCTTACTTTTTTTTCTCTTCGAATTCTCATTGTTTTGTGTGGCGCATATATATTGGCGCTCTCTTGTACCAATATTTGTGTTCAAATAAATAAATAATAAAATAACAAGAAAGCACCGAAATGTATATGCGCTACAATAAAAATGGGATTGCAAAGAAGTAAAGGAAGGGGAGTGCAGTATTTTGAAAAGGGAAAAAATAAATAAAAAATTAATGTATGAGTAAAACAATAAAATAATAATGGGATAAGCAGTTCAGTTTAAAAAAACTAGTAAGGTTGCAGCAGGATCGCCACTGTCTTCTATACTGAATCATGTCTAATAAGGTCTCCACCAGATAGTGTCGCACCATCTCTAGGACCCTAACCAGGGGTTCGTGAAGATTCAACAGAAGCTAGTCCTGTACAGCTTTCGTTCATGCCACGACACAATTATACACTGACCACCTCTCCGCTTTTTCCAATCACGATGTGGAATTCGCTGGGACAACATTCGTAGTACATGTCCAAACTACCGAAGTGTGCTTCAAGATAGTGGCACCAACTGAATTATCGTCGTTGTGCCCGAACACATGATGAAAAACATCTGAGTTATTAACATGGTATTGCCACTGGATGTCAGCAACCCTTTGGAGGCGACGGTAACCAAGCATAGAGATTCATCTAACATCCTCAACTCCAAGAGGCCACGTCTCACAAGCATAGAGCAAAACTCCTCTCACCAACCTTTTACAACCAGAATAAAATTAAAAACGCGCCAAGGATGAACCAGATTGGCACTAGCCGCTCTGGCTTTCATTATACGTAGATCGGTCTGGGCACCCGGGCACAGCCCTCACACATATCGAATGACATTTGTGTGGCGCATATGTATTCGGTGCCTCTTTGTACCAATATCTATGTGTTGAAATAAATAAATAAATACGTAGATCGATTTCGTCACTCACATCACTATCAGCACTTAAGTAGATATCCTGGAACACGAATTTCTAGACTAATTCTATCTGCTCAATACCAAGAGTGAGTGCAGGTTCAGGATCCTGCCAATCTTGTAAAGGCATTTTTTCCTTAGAAAGTCCAAAGTAAACGCCATACCTACAGATACTGGAACGAAATATACCCACTGAGAAATAAAAACAGGAAAGACTGGGTCAGCGAAGATTTCTGTTTTTAAAAGACTGATCCTCAAAGCTGTAAAATCGCAAAATCTTATTTTTTAAAATAATAAACAATAATGTCTGCTAATGTTAAAAATAACTAATAATAATCGATTTGCTAAATTTAGTAACAAGAAAGTAAAATAAAAAAAACACGAAGATATTACTCTTATTAGGAAACTGATGTAATCATGAGCATGAATATTTATCAAGCGGATAAAGATTACCAGTTGTGAAGTGATAGGTTATACAGTTGAAGTTAAAATGAACTGTAATCAGAAAAAACATGAAAATGGAAATAAGTCGGTTCGGGACAAAAGTTCAATAAACGAAATAGATGGCTTTGAAGAGATCAAGATCACCGTAGAAAAACAGATTAGATAAGTTTTTTGTATATACAGTTCCGGATGTCTCAGATATATAGCAGATGCATTAAGTGTTATGAAGTTCACTAACTTTTATCACGTAGATATATTTGGACGCTGTTTATTCCGATCGAATAACCTGTGTTAATAAGATTTTCGACCATGGAGCTCCATATTGATTTTGTTGCATCAAACGACCTATATGCCTAGCTCTAAAGGAGAGAATTGATCGATAAATTCATATAAAATTGATCCACTGCGAGAGCTTATCATTTGAGTTGTCCCAAAACACAGGTTAACAGGAGAACATTAATCGTGAGGTTTTTGTAAAGAACATTCATTTGAGAGAGCCAGGAATTGCTTTCTTTAAGATGTATTCAGCTTAGTCACCCTTAAAACCTATGTTTATACCAAGGATTTTCTTTGGTGTGGAGGTTATTTGTACCTTTATATGTTTGACGACAAGTATCAGTGGGGACCTATTTTGACAAGTATTCTTGGAAGGTTCAAGTTGCAACGAAAATGAGTGGCCCCATGGCTCTACGATTGGTTTGGAACAATGGAGAGGTGATTTTACGTCAACAACATCGGCAATGGTTCATATCTTTCCAACAGTTAACCTCGTAGCATAGTCCTCCTGAACAATTTTATTGACACTAATCTTAAGAAACAAAGCTTTTTGATCTTTAATACGTGTGAGAGCTTAAGCGTTCAGTAGATATATCAATACATTTAAGGCTTGGATGAAAGAATTGAATGCATTCCCTATTTGTTTTAACTTAGGTTTTGAGTTTTAATATTATTTTGTATCCTTATGAGAAACAACCTTTTTCGAATCATATTCTTCATGTCTAACTCTATACAACTACTACTACTACTGATATTGCCACTTTTACCGATTTAATAGCCATTTTGATGATCTCATCTCGCTCTGTTAACATTGTATGACAGATTAGTATCTAATTTTGCTGTCACTGCTTTTTCTAGAATTTATAGTTATCACTTATTTAGCATTATCATGCATACAGAGGAGTTGGGAGCAGTCAAGATATTATACTTCCACACCTTCTGAAGGGTGAAATCAGTCGGAGCTTTTTTACTTTTAGTTAAAGTGAACCAGAAAACAGTAATAAAGTATCATTAAAGCTTTTAGTCTGAGGGAATATACTTTGAGCTTTAGTTATTGGATCAAAGTATCGAGTCTTATTAAATCAGTTGGTAGGTTATAAAGTTGTAATATTTCGTCACAAACAGAAAATCAACAAGAAAATTAAAGCGGTCGAAGTAAATGTATTTACTGTGTTAAAAGCGTAGTAAGAAAAATCAAGGAACAGGAAGTGCGGGGTAATAAAAAGACTGAATATTTGACTACCCCTAAACTTCAGCAAATAGAGTCACCTGAGAAAAAGATTTACAACTATATGGGCATGGACTTTGTTCCACGATTCCATACCTCATAACCAAAAGTCAATAACTTCATGAACTGATAGACAATCTAGTAAAATAATAATGTGAAAATATCTATAGGGTGACTGGACTCCTGAAAGGGTAAGAACTACAATTACCAGATCCACTTAGCATGCTTTCATGAAAGCAATGACGGCACAGGTGAACTTTCAAATAGTAAATAGAGTAAAAGTTGACTCTAGTGACATAATATAAATTGGGCCAAACAACTCTAAAGTTTAGACAATTGTCACGAGTAATAAAAGTGCCATCTACCAGCTAGTTAAGGGTGAAAATTATTATGAAATTATGCACACAACTTATGAATTGTATACGTACCTTGACCAGCCTCTTTGTATATCAAGTCGCGTTTCTGACTTTCATTCTCGTTCTTCCCTCGACGCCGATTCTTTCCTCCCTTTCCTGAATTTTAGAATTGGAGATATATTAATCCGAAAAAATCCCGAGTTTATATCCAAATTAATATAATGACTTCACCTCATCTTACCCTTATTTTTAGGCATAACCAACCAACGTGAAGGAGACTAATTTGAATGTGCCACAAGTCCTAAGTGAACTAGAGCTAGTCGCGCCTCAGACTGATCAAACTTCAAACGGTCGAACTTTACAGGACTAAGATGGCGGATTTCTAGTTCCTTGGGACCTACCTCCTGGTTGAAGGAGAGAGTAGCGGTTAAAAATAGGAGTGATGATTCAGATTCCGTCGTATCCATAATATGTTTACGTTTATATTTTTTCGTGTTCTACATTTAACTGGTGCCTGTTTTAAGTGTAGTGTAGTGCTGAGACGCACTATTGATTTATTGGATTGGTGGCTATAAACAACAAACAACATCACAATCATAATCTCACTTACTTTTCTATGCTAAACAAGTTGGAGGTCTAATGAAATTTAGGGGGTTAAGTATGATTTGCTCCTTAGTTCATGCACATTATTGACTGCTTAGAGCTTGTTTCGAGAAAGTAATGTCTTTGTTAACATGGGAGATATGATGATTAACCTTCTTCAAATAGAGTTACTCGTAAGTACTAAGGCAGTTTCGTATGCTTCAAGGGCCAGGTTACCCTAAGTTCGAGAGTGAATCCCGGTAATACTAGTGACTTTCTTCGTAATTCCAGTTCACCTGGACGTTACACCTGGCATACAACTTTAAATTATACCTAGGTCGTTTTCCTCTGCGGAAAATGTGATCTTCAAATCGTCCAGGAGGTACGAGATTGATATGTTATTACTGTCAGCCGTAAGTATTCTTCATTTACCGACATTCGACCGAAATATCAAAGGTTAGAGATGTCTGTAAAACCATCCATTCCTCTCCAGATCTTAAGGTCAACTGCTTATAAGGGATTTTAAGAATCGGAGTCACCTGGCAGACTGCTCATAAACAATTAGAAGCGAAGTGGCCTGAAGAAAAAACCTGTTGCAGACAACTTAGAGAACTTGTCTAGTCAAGAGCCTAGTCATACACATTGATTCTAATCTCTGAGTGGAAATTTCGATGAGCGACTTCATGGAGCCTTAGAGAAATACACAACAGGATCATATTCCACTGAGTAATCAACCATCACAGACTGTCAAAAGTTTGAGTTACACGATATGTCTGGTGGGCATCCATATTAATGTTAAGAGAGGGCATAGTTGTTTAGGAGAGATTCATTTATAGCTGCCTTTATGAACTCAACTAAGGAGAGCGTAAACGTCAGTCTGTAAATTGAGATTTGACATGACTATTCCTTTTATGTAAAAGTAAGATGACGATATTGTGAGGCTCGGTTGGTGAGCGCGTGTCATGGATATTCTGCTGTGAAAACCGGTGTCTATCATATAACTTGGGGATTGACTGGTTGATTATATTTCGTCAAAGGAGTACCCTGGTTCACATCTATGAATCCTGATGCCTTTAGGAGGGGAATGAAATCCTGTTTACCAGTATTTTGAGCTCGCAGATACAATTTCTGGTGAATTTGTTGTTACCCTGAGTAATTTCGGTTGGATAGGTCAGTTAGAATAGACTGCATATACAAGTAATATAACAGTCCATTTTATTAAGCTCCTTGCTGTGCAGCTAGTTGGTTTGGGTATTATTTGACAGTAATCTAGCGAACCTCCAACCGATCGTTTTTTATTTGGTAAAATATGTAATTCTCTGAACATAGATTGTTCGGACACTAAAAATTCTGATTTTCACAAATATTTAAGATTTAAAAGGTTTATTTAACCCATCCTATTGTTTCCAATTCAGATAAAATGGTTCTCTAAAACAGAAGTTTATTTCATACTAATCTAAAAATGTGTTCCCTCAGCATGCTTACGTCCGATGATTGATTTAGATTGTAATACTCTCCGATAGGAGACATAACAAACGATAAAAAAACTGTCGAGTTTTGACAGACGTTTTATGGGAACCACTGCAATTCCCACGACGCAAAGTAGGAACACCAGGACTGGTACAACTGAGGGTTTATTAACTCCAGAAAGAGGACGACAACCCTAGTGGAAAATACACTCGTCGTATGTTGATCGTACACCCATTTTGATTATTGAATAGAATAAAATCACATGTATGTAAAGCATTCAAAGTGATAAGAAATCGCATGCTGCACACCAGGCTGAACATTGTTCGCGTCAACTCAATACGAGGGATATTGCACCTTTAGTAAACATTACACTCAAATCAATTAACGATATGACATACAAGATATCACACTGGAAAACAGACTAAATATTGCACTGAGTGCACATTAAATTCAACTAAAAACGCAAGTAATGTCGAACAAAGATCACAATCAATAAACCAAGGTATTTTGATTTCGCCTTTTCATCATGTCATATAACGAACCTATTTTGCAATCCTTCGTTTTCGTTTTCCCAATGGTTCTTTCATTTTATTTATATTCCTCTACTTTCATTTTGTCCGTAAACTGCTAGCGTAATATCGGCCATAAAAAATATTCCCGCCACCTTAGTATAAGATTTCAGATCGCAGAGAACCAGAAGAGCAAACTCTGTCTATATTGTTGACGCCTAAAGCTGTGAAGAATTCAAACTATATATTCAAACAGCAGGATGTCACGGACTGCTTTACGATTTTCGGTGTTTAGTGCTAATTTATTCTTGTTTGAGATGCATGATTAGTGAAAGCAAAATGAGATTGTCAACTAAACGTAACCAAACAGACTCATTTATAGACAATTTAGTGTGTTGTTTTGCTCCTATAATTGAGTTCTTACATAGACCGACTGAGTGTTGACTGCTTTTAATCGTATTGAACGTGGTACCATCTTACATATATTCTGGTTCATTATTTCTGGTCGTGAATTGTTCGTCTAATGTTATTTGATCTATTCTATATAAAACATATTAACTGAGTATCTATCCAGTGATGGTAAAATCTTGATTCTGCTCGTATAGTACGTCATGAAAAACAGTAAAGAAATTAATCCTATTGTTATATCATTTTGCCCAACATTGAAATGTGTTCAGACCTTCCTTAAGAGCATATCCAATATCTGGCAACCAATTTCTCTACATAGTTCTCGGTTCTCAGTGAAAAGACGCCAATTTTTGGTAGGTAGTTATTTTGTACCGGAAAATTTAGGGGTATCAGAACTGTAACCTAATGAGAGATTTAGAATACTGAAGGAATTAGGTAACTTACCATGACGTTGAATAAATTACTGTGTGATCACCAGCAATCAGAGCTTTGTAGTAACGAAGGCATGATTGATCTGGATATGTGCATTCGAAAAGTTCCGATATGTAAAGTTTCCTAATCTACATGACCAAGAATATTAGTCTGTTCGCAGGTTTTGAATGCGAGCCTACGGAATCAGATGTTTTCGGAACCTTTATGAACAAAGTCTACTTTTTTGCTTTTTATCAAATAAAAATATTCCTAACCGTATTTATAATCTTATTGTTCCGATATGCAGTAACCATATACTTGTAGTGGCATTGGGCCCTAACCACACGACCCTCAAAGCTAAACACTAGACAAATGGGAAAATAGGCATCCAACATTTAACGTGGAGAAAAACACAACGGTGGAGAAGGCGAGAAGAATAAATTGAATTAATTCGAATTGATCGAAGGGCATGGCTCGACCTTGCAGGCATGGTCACTCTTGAGTATTGTCGTATATCTTTTATTCATATTAAACATATTGTTCATTCTCTAGTCTAAGTTTGTCCTCCATCATATATTGTTGATTGTTATGGTGGGATGAGTTGGGTTAGATGATGATGTGACTTCATTGTAAGATCTTATAGATTAGGAAGTTATATCATGACAAATCTACAATTTTAGGATTGGGTCCATTATTGGAGCAGTACTAATATCGAGGTAGACCATAGTTCTATATACTTTCCTCTAAGAGATCAAATAAGTTTAGTATTATTTTTTATTTATAACTTTAACATCTAAACAATAGCATGATATTTTTCTGCTCATATTGGCTGTAACGAACGAAATACCAGTAATCGGTTTGAACGCATAACTAATGAACCAAAGTTTATCCGATTAGGCCAGACTACGTCCTTCTGTATAACGTACGTAGCGTTTCTGAGTGAGTCGTTTTAAATTATATCAAAACGAAAACTCTGTTTTAAACTCGAACAGTTCTAATTTTAAAAAGAGAATCAGGTTTATCAAAATTACAAAGTACTTCAAACGGTACAGCCTGAGCTGTACATTTAGAGGTATCTCTAGCACAAACGAACGCGGAAACCAACAAAAGGAACAGTTAGTAAACAAGAGTTCAATACCTGAGAAGTAATAAAACTGTTACCAACAAGATGGGATCAGATATCTGTCTGTAAAGATTTCGACAACCTTTCCAAGCAAACAGCCAAAGGTTAGCAGTCGTACAATAAACCACCCCATGACCCTGAGTTTGGTTAAATACGACATTATTGTCAATAGTTTGGTAACATGCAACAGTAAATTAAGCAATAAAAGATACACCTTCAGCCAGGATCCAAGAAAAAAGCCTCAATATGGAAGACCGAAGAACATGGCATGTGGTTAACAAGAGATCTGAATAAAAGTTGGAATACAAGACAAGAGAAACAAATAAATGAAAATACTGTCCAATACAATTCTGTGAATAGATTTTCAGCGCGTTTTTTGTTATATCATCTATTAATCTACGTGAATTAATGTCGTGTTGCAAATCTTATCGATTTTGACGTGTTAAGTTATTCTCATTCTGGTGTGCCAATTTACATTATTACTGGTCGATAATAGGTTAATATAGCTTACTCATGATGCTTATTGACTAACGGATAGCAATTTTACCTCCTCACTCTTAAGTGTGTCTTGTGACATGTTCTGCCGTGTTAAGGAAGCTTGGGACCAGATTGTTTCTTCACGGTCACTGTTTGGGATCATTAAGCTTCCAGTGGTATTTGTAGTGGCATTGGACCATAACCACACTATCCTCAAAGCTGAATACGAGATTACTCGGAAAATAGGTATTCAATATTTAACGCGAAGAAATACCTAACGATGGAGAAGGCGCGAATAATGAATTGAATAGACTAGAGTTGATCGAACGGCATGGCTCGGCCTTGCAGGCGTGGTCTCTGCTGAATGTTACCTTATATCTTCTTTTCATATTAAATATATTGTTCTTTCTCTAGCCTAACCTTGTTCCACATCAT